TAAGTTTCATCTCCATGCGTGGCACCGTTAGTGAGTTTGAGGAGTGAAGAAGTAATTTTAAAGAAAAGTGCCTGTTATTGTGGTCGTCATAGAAACGATGTTACACACATGCGTACCAAGTTTCATCTCCATGCATGCTATAGTTAGAGAGTTTGAGGAGTGAAGAAGTAATTTTAAAGAAAAGTGCCTGAGGTATTTGTTGTTATTTACAAACATGTATTGTTGTGATTTTGATGTTGGCTATTGAATACATTGTGTATACAAACTTTCGCTCACGTAACTCTTACCAATTGTAGGTTACACTGACACATGTAGTATGTCCATTATGACGTATTGCCCATTATAATGTATTGCCTGGGGCACTTTTGTTGTTGTTTACAGTAAACAACATTGTTTACAAACAAAAAAGTATGACGTTGCACATGTGGTTATCGATATGTACATTCCTACAAAATTTCGTGGGCTTTATCTCTTTCGGTTTTTGAGTTATGCTGGTTGAACAGGAAGAAGAAGAAGAAGATGATGATGAACAAAACTCCCTATCATAGCCCCATACATCTATAATGCTAGGTACCATGTCAATCCCTATCACTAAGTACGGTAGTACTTAGTATATAGGGATGACACAGGTCGTCCTGCATTATGCCCATACATTTGATATTTTCGGGTTTCACTTTCTATTTCAATCTGATTCAACTTTTGACACATCAGACTAATTTTTATCGTCACAAAGAGCATGTTTCCAAGAAATAGCTTAAATCGCATAATCGGTACTTTGATTTATTCAAAAAGTCACTTTTCAATTTTCTTCTTCTTGTTGTTGTTGTTGTTGTTCAGTTTCAACAAGCGTATCTCAAAAACCAGGTAAGATATGGAGATCAAACTTTGCACAAAGATTGGAATCCATGACAGGTCGTGCAAGAGCATTTTTATTTCAATGTAAACAACAACTAATAGCCCCAGGTAATACATTATTATTGAGACAAATAAAGTTTGCTAACTGGGTAAAGCTATTACCCTGAGTGATAAAACTTTGTACACACATGCAACCCATCATTAGTATCAAAATGTAAACATTACAATTTTGTAAACAACAACGAACAGCCTCAGGCAATAAAAACTTGTAAACTATATTATTGCCTATAACTTTCTTATGGTGGGACTTCTAACATGGAAAATTGGTACACTGACGTTCCATGATAAGAGTTCATCGAAAGAGAAATTACAAGTTAGTAAACAACAACAAACAGCCTCAGGCAATGAATACTTGTAAATGATGTTTGTGCCTATAACTTGCATATTGTAGGTCCATTAACAATGAAACTTGGTACACTAATGTATATTCCATGGTGAGAGTTCATCGAAACAGAAATTACAAGTTTGTAAACAACAACAAACAGCCTCAGGCAATAAAATGATGTTTGTGCCTATAACTTACATATTGTGGGTCCTTTAACAACGAAACTTGGTACAATGATTTACAACGATGAGAGTTCATGGGAAACATAAATTACAAGTTTGTAAACAACAGCAAACAGCTTCATGCAATAAATACTTGTAAATGATGTTTGTGCCTGTAACTTGCCTATTGTGGGTCCTCTAACAATGAAACTTGGTACACTGATTTACTATGATAAGAGTTCATTGAAACATGAATTACAGGTTTGTAAAGAACAACAAACAGCCTCAGGTAATTAACAATCTGTTTTTCCTATAACTTTGCACACTTATCTACTTTGGAACTAAAAGATGACGACTAAGAACCCGAGGCAATAAATACATGTTACTTTTTATATGGGCATTATGCCCCAATGCATGTGCATGCCGTAAAAAAAGGAAAGGAGACAAGTAAATCAAAAATTGTGCGAATTAAAAGTGTGGAATATAGGGATGCCATAAAAAGCAAGGAGACAAGACAGGGATGACCTAGTATGTGATGCATTAGTACAGTGGGATGATGGTTACATCTTCAAACTGATATTGCTTGCTCGTGTAAATCTTCCTCCACACAAGCCCTATATTGTCGCCACTTTTCTCGCAACATGGATTTGTTTAGTGTGAGGACAATGGTGAGGCTGAGACACATAGATCCACTCGTGCATAAGAAACGAGTCATAGCTGCACATCATACAATAGAGATCACTCATGCTAGCAAGAGATTTTAATGACAATGTATTTAGCCGGCACTCTTTAGTTGAGTCCCCTCTCTCTAAGACCAGTCTGTAAAGGCATTCTCTGGCGGGCCATGACACGCAGCATTGTAAAACTCATCGTTAGTTGAGTGAACACCGAAGTCTTAGACTGCACACAATGCAGTCACAACCAAAAACTGAGGAGCTGTCGCAGAGGGCAACAACACCTGTGCATCACGTGCTTAAGAGATGAGTCATTAACCCTCGGCGCGCATGCGCAGCGAGGGTTACAGTAGTTGGGTCTGTCTGTCTGTGTGTTACTCTACATCTCACTTCACGGGTGTTTGTTCGTCTCACAAAGGATACGATCTACTTAACGAGCAATGAAGGTGAGAAAATATGTGGGGTTTTCTCTGAAAATGCTCCGTTGCAGAGCTACAGCGCGAAAAAGCCAATATGCAAATACACAACGGACGGGATGGCTTACCATGGTCTGATCGATCCGCGTGCTCTGCGTACCTCGGAGGCACCAGAAGATGCAACGCAGGGCGTGTGTATCGCCTCTCGCATGCTATCTTGTAGTGTAGTTAGCCCGTGTCAGGCACTGTGCGCGAGCTGGCAAGAGACCACGAGTAACAGCTAAAACTAAACCCAGCCCATCAATTAGTGGTACTGCGCATGCGTTTACTTACGCGTGCGCGTCACAGTGCGCCGAGGGTTTGCACTTCAGTGCTTTTCATTCTATGAGGGAGCACAGTCATGCTTTGCGACAATATAGGGCTTGTGTGGAGGAAGATTTACACGAGCAAGCAATATCAGTTTGAAGATGTAACCATCATCCCACTGTACTAATGCATCACATACACTAGGTCATCCCTGTCTTGTCTCCTTGCTTTTTATGGCATCCCTATATTCCACATTTTTTTAATTCGCAGAATTTTTTATTTACTTGTATACTAAGTACTACCGTACTTAGTGATAATTATGCTAACCTTTGTGTATTTGAATGTGTTTTACTTGTTAGTTTTATGCATGTAGGTTGTTAAGCCCTTCCCTCTTTCTGTCTTGTTTTCTTTTTTCTCCTTTAGTTTACCTAAATGTTTAGTAATGCAAAGCACAGGCCTTGGTATATAGGCATGTTTACACCTAACATGTATAGGGTGCTCATGTTGATTAAGAAGTTGATGTTCATGCATGGAGATGAAAGGGAGAGTTAAGGACACCACCAGTATACGTACTCGCCTCATTTGTCTGTGCGATTCTCACAATGAAACATAATAGAGCAATACACCTCATAGCCTAACATTGATAACAATATTGATAACAAACAATGGGTGTGTCACCGCAGGAAGTAGCCACGTTGAAGGGGCGATACATACGCACGTATGAGCTTACAACTTTGCCATTGTGTGATTGAAAACTACTGATTATACTGTTTTTAACATGCATGTAGCTCTACTTTAACCCTCGGCGCGCGCAGCGTGGGTTACTGTAGTTGTAATATGTGTCTGTTTGTGTCTGTCCTCGAGCTATCTCACTTCACGAGCAATCAATCGCTCCACAAATGATACCACGTATTCAGCATTGGATAAAGGTCAAAAAATATGTGTGGTTTCTCTTAAACTGCTGCATTCGGGAGAAACCCGAGTGGAAAAGGCAAAATGCTAATTAGAACAGGCGTACCGCGAGCGGGTCTGTTTGTTTTGTGTATCTTGAAGCCACAAGAAGTAACAACGAAGGGCGTGAATCGACCCACGCATGGTATCGACTGCTGAAGCTGGCCCGTGTCAGACTCTCCGCGAGCTACATACCAGCGGGAGAACACGAGTAAACGCATACTAATAGCCCAGCCCACAATTAGCGGTACCGTGCATGCACAGTTCGCCGAGGGTTTGCATTTTAGTGCTTTTTCTCTATTTTACTTGGCTCTTTCTCATCCAAATTCAAAAGGTTAAAGCACTAACAGATTTCTCTCAATGGGATTTGGTAAAATAGCACAAGTCGAGGAAGAGAGAAAGAACCAACTTGTAGTAGGAATCGACGAGACCATATACATGTTATTTGAGGAACCATGACCTGGTGGATTACTCAATAACATGTGTTCATAATTTATATATCCAATATTTCTGTGAGTAATCCACAATGTTATGGCTCCCCTAGTAACGTATGTATAGGTTTTACCTGTCGATTCCTAGTGAGATTCTGACAGCATATGACACAGTGGCTCCCAGTAAAATTTGCCAGATAGGTAGCAAGCACTAATACCAGTATTTCAGGGATTTGTAAACGCCAGCTGTTGTAGCCCAGTGCTTAGTGCACTGGACTTCAAGTCAACAACTGCCAGACAAAAGTGTCTCCCTTCCTTTGTTGTTGTACCGATTCTTCATTATCTATCTAACAGGTCAGCTGAGCTAATACAATCCTCGAAAGTTATCTGAGCCTCATTTAGTGTTCACATGTGTAGAATTTAGGGATGCTATTGATGACAAAGAACATAGTACGCATCACTTTAGTACGTGCCTTTTATTGTGCTAAGACGGAATTGCTTGTGAGCTGGAGAAAATGGTTGTGTCTACAACACACGAAAGCGTTTTCAGGTTATTCGGCTATACAGAATTTGTGAATTTTAGATAAGGTAAGGTATCACTAAGAACGCAAATCATGACTAACAGAACAATTTTCCCTGCTGTCTAGCCTCAGTCAGCAAACCTTCACTTAGCTTTAATCACTTGTGTCTGACTTTAACAATTGAGTATACAAGGTGCTATGTATAGTATGTGTGTGACACCTTGTTGGAATGTGATAAAATAGTAAGACCCTCTGCAAAATGTATGTCAGTATGATGTGTTGCTGATTGTTTGCCTGCAGATCTAGATGATGCTCTTATTCTACATCCTAGCGGTGAACACTACTCTTTTGGTTCACCATCAGAAAAGATGCATCTCTTCGTCATATCTGTTACCCTTGATAATCCTTCTGGCCTTCCTGAGGTACAAAACAGATTATGATTTTGTGGTTGTTGTATTCGTGTTTTCCCCCTTTATAGTCTTTGAGTCCTTACTACTATAATTATAACCTTCTTGATGTGGACATCGCATCTGAGCAATTTGTGTACAATGAGTTCAAGACAGAAAAAGCTTCCATTAGGATATTGTGTTCACGAGAGCGATTAAGGAAGTTACTCTCATTGAAACAGCGCATGAAGGTATAATTCTGTTGTACCGTATGACCAGTAAGTTTGGCGACTCGATTTTGCGTTTTTGTGTTCGACATCAGAAGTTCCAAAGTAAAATACACCAAAATTTTACGTGTGCTATGTGCAACATGCCAACGACTCCAATCTTCACTGGAAAAAAAAACGTCCAACGCTCACAAAGACACATGTAAAGCTAAATGATGTTTTACTTGGACACCATAAGTGGACACAAATCAGGTTACCGTAGGGATCTGTTGTGTTCCCATATTCACCTTAGTTCTTTGCCAGTCCATACTTTACTGGTATGTTGCTTTTTCTGATACCCAGCTTGGGATGTGCGATAATGGGTTTCTCGGTGTGTGCATTACTGTTTACTGCATTAATGTCTGGCAAATTAAACTTCCGGAAGTATTGTGTAATATTTGAACAGCCACTATTTTCATTTATGTATAAAGGCCTAGTCCTTGTTTGTTGCGAATGCGGCATGATGTAGGTGGGTTAGACCATTGTTTCTCCTTTTAAATGTTTAGTGCTAGACACAAAAATGATATGGTTTGTGTTTTTTTTTGCTAGATTACATTGTGCCAGAGTGACCAGTTTCTTGGGAAAGGAAGTCTTTCACTCAAGCCTCTCTTGACTGACGATGTGTTAAAATGTGAAGTCGAGATGGGCATTGAGTCAGGTATCGCTACAAGTAAATAATGAAAAGCACTAAAGTGCAAACCCTCGGTGAACTGCGCATGCGCGGTACCACTAATTGATGGGCTGGGCTTTTTATGCCTTTACTCGTGGTATCCCGCTAGTAGCTCGCGGAGAGCCTGCCACGGGCTAGCTACAGTAGTAGATAGCATGCGGGAGTCGATACATGCCCTTCGTTGTGACTTCCTGTGCCTGCAAGATACACAGAGAGAGCGGACGCGGGCGAGGTAAGCCTGTGCTAATTTGCATATTGGCTTGTTGATTTGCCTTTCACGCCATAACTTTTGAACGCAGTAGTGATACGAAAATCGCCTTTTTAAAAAATGAGGCCAGTGTAGCGTTGAACGTGTTTGTATCGCTATTTCGTTTTCTCGTTGCGCATAGTCGCAGAAAAGGTGGTAACAGACGAACGGACAGACACACTCACTCACACACACACTCACGAACCAAGTACCGTAACCCTCGTTGCGCATGCACGCCGAGGGCTAATAACTTCTTCCAATTAAAAATGGGAATTGTATAATAAGCGCGGAGACAAGCCAGGGATGATGACGTGCATGTCATGCTACAGTATATACAATCGATGATGACTGCATACTTATTCCCATATTGTTCCCTGGTGTGCTACTCTTTTAGGGAATGTGGCGTTATATAAGGGCTAAAGGTTACTAAAAGCAAGCATTCTTTCACCGTGCCCCTTTTGTTTTTAGTAACATTTCTATTTTTATACTGCCTCCCTTTATACTCCCTTTAATTAAACTCCATTTGGACTGTATAACGGTGTTGGTTACTCAGTAACATGACTTTTTGTATTGTACGTTCTGAGTATTGTAATTGTGCGTGTTTAATACACCACCTAGGCAACAGTATAGGGATTGTGTGAGGGGTTGGGGCTGTCAGCGTGCTCATATCTGTTCGTTAACCATGCTTCATGTATGCCATCCCTGTGGTATAGGGGGAAAATGCAATGGAGTCAAGTAGTCCAATTCTGTCTTTTAATTAGACGTGGAATAATGTTTTCCATGGAAGTTACCTAGAGTGGATTTGTAATTTCACTGGCAGAATGACAAACTTTAGTTCACGGAATTCCATGCCACTTCCTTTGAATTCAAAAATGACCATGGAACTCCAAGCCTTGTGGAACTCCATTGAATTACATAAAACTGACTTCTCGAATTCCATGAAACTCATGGAATTCCAAATTGAAGTGGAATTCCAATGTGACCTATGTACGTAGGTACGTACGTCTAGCCCGCATATCTCTGGCACTAGAGCTCATTGTTGCGCATTTCTCTCCGCATGAAATTGTCCGCCTTGGGAGAAGATGCTTGCGTCGGTGTTTTTTTCTTCGGACTACTGTTAAGCTGCCACCCGTGGACCTCTCGCTTTACATTCCGGTCATTTGCACTCAAGTTGATCCACCGAAGTACAACGGAAAGTGTTTTATGGAAGCGATATTGAAGTTAAAAGTGTGTACAGTATTAGTTACAATTTTGTTGTGTTTATCATCTTTAGCAATGAAGAGCCTATTTTGGAATTTTGAGGTTTTCCTGCAACACTTGATGTATGCCTTTACTGGACCCCCTTCTGAATACTAAGCTCTGCTAATTATTTTCACATGATACTGTGGTGTGTCTAGGTTCGTATTCAATATATCCACCAGTACATATTTGACCTAAAAGACCTACGGGAGCTTTCAGTGTCTGGCCTGAAAGTGCTGGCTGAAAACAACCTAGTCGTCTCAACGGGAATATTTATTTATTTTTAAATTTCTATCCGACAACGATGCTGCCACTAATTCCGTAATGTTGTGCGTTATTCTAAATATGCAGAAGCTGGTAGCAATACAATATTATCACGTGTATAGGGTCTCCAGCTAATTTACATCAAATCGGAATGGAGCATACGAGCTCAACCGCCACTACGGAAAGCAGGGAAAGCCGCTTGGCTTGGCGCAGGGAGAGAGACAGACATCTTCATGCTTGCCGGACAGCGGCGACTATGGAGAGACTATGCTCGCCGGAGACAGCGTCTTGCTTCTGAGACGGCCGAGGAGAGGAAGACGTGCCGGTTTCATTGTCGGGCGAGGGAGAGGATGTAGTGTTCAGCACGATTATCCGAGGAGAGGGACACACGCCTCCAGCAAATGAGAACCGGTGACTGGCGGATCGGAGACGCAACCACTATTTGCACACACTCCCGCTTGCCACAAATGCACTGCATTCACCTAGTAGTGTTGTAGGATATGTGAGCTTGGATAATTTTTTTTGGAATCACCTGCAAGTCCTGTCGGTGATACCCAAGGAACTGTTGCTGATATAGCCGCTTATGTTGGTAAGTCAATACAAGAGGGCAGGGGGGGGGGGGAGTTGTTTCAGTCCCAGATAGGTCAAATTTGCAAGTCACCATGTGTCATTTGTGTATCACTTAGACAGATGGTGTAGGAATGAATAGTCCAACTGCAAATTTGCATCCAAGTATGGTATGTGCATATGTACAAGGGTAGGTTGATCATGCTGAGTCATTGTGAATTTACAATGGTTTATCACTCTTTTTCTCACTACCAATCTGGCATTTTGGCACATGACAGTCTAAGGGGGTATGCCCCTCCTCATAAGATGTTGAACCTTATGCACACTTTCACTTTACATCCTTCGCTCATGCAACATTATAGCTTAGATAAGGGTGTCAGTATAAATAATATCCTCTATAGGTCGCTTGTTTAAGAAGGTTGAATCATGTGAGGCTCGAATCGAGATCACCTCGCTTCGATCTGAAGCTTCTGACATGAAGTTCGGCATTAAGATGGCAAAAATTACGGGCCAGTTGGAGTCTATATTACAGTAAATTATGTCCATCAAAGAGCGCCAGGACATGCTTTTCTGAGAGCTGGATCTCACAATTGTCCAGTGAAATTAAATGGAATCATCCTGATACACTAATTTCGAATGGGCCATCAATTATGGCATGGTCTCCGCTTCCAAACTCCCCTTTGTGGCAGTCGTCGACCTCCTGCAAGAGATAATCAAGACGTAGCATACTACCAATGCGCATGTGTGCACTTGCTAGCTTTGAGCAAGTTCTCAGTTCTCGAGGCTACCGCAATGGAACAGGTTGTGTTGGTGGCTCTTTCTCCCTCACAGAAACTCTTTTCATAGGTCGCTGAACCGTTTGACCGGTCAGTGTGCCGCAGCCGTGGTCTCGCTTGCCACAGGGACAAGAGTGTAGAAGAGTAGCTAAATGAAGGGGTGTGGTCACCTCAGCCATCCCTCGGCTCTACAGCCTCTACAGCATACGTAGTTTTGGTCTACACTATGTGTACGATACTGATGCTAGTTCGATACTTTTTATTGGACGTTCAATAATGGTAAAATGGAACGCATGCTACAATACGGGAAACAAATGTATGCCCTGACAGGCTTGGGGGCCAACGCTGGGAGCCACGTGCTCTAATAATTATTGATTCTCCCCTTGGCTCCCGAGCAAACCACCAAGGGAAGGAACCTTCACTCCTTCCCCCCCAAGCCCCCCACAAACCCTAGCTACCCTCCCGGAACCACTCCCACCATACACTGACGTTTGACTTCATCATTACTCATTTGGCAACCATACACACAAATTCCCCACCCAATCCCTGAACTAGCTAACAGCTGTCTTCAGTCTCAGGCCCCGTCACTGGTGAGATAGTCCCTTGGACACCGCTGCCAGGCTGTCCCGTGGGATCTTCACATACGTCTGGTAGGCTGAACTCTGCCAGCGGCCCAATGTTTTTATCATGGAGTCTTCCAGTCCAGCCGCTGCTGCTGTGGTCGCAGCTCCAATGTGGAAACTATGTCCCGCAAAATGTTTGACCTCAATCCCCAACTGACACAGGGCCTGCCTCACGTGCTTCACTAGCAGTTTACAGGACAGTGGTGTCCCTCTCCGGAATCGGAAGAATGGGCCGGGCGCCCTGCCCCTAGCTGCCAGATACGCCGTAACTGCCGCCACCGGGCAGAGATCATTCCCTGTCTTACCCAAATAGATGAACACTCCCTGTCTGAAGGGGTCCGTCTTGGAAGCTTTTATGTGCACTCGCACCACAGTAGGGTCGTTCCGGCTGTCGATTGCCACATCCCCTTCACTGAGATGACCCTCCTTATCATACTCCGTCATTGATGGGACGGTGGCTTCCCCCGATCGTAGGAAACCATAGAAGCACGTACAGCATGCCGCCCACAACATTATATGATCGAAGTCGCCCCCTGTTTTCTCCCAGACAGCCTTGAGCTTCCGGAGAATGTCCGGTGTGATCGGGAGACGCTTTCTCCTCCTTGTGGATGCCGACTTTGATTGGCGTAACTTCACCCCCCTCAAGGTGTATTCGAGGAGGGGCATGGCTGTGCCAAACGGGTCCCCCATGCCCTTCACTATCTGTAGATTACGAGGTTCTTTGGTACGGGATATGGCTCGCGGCATGCCTGTGGAACGAGAGTGAAGAATGAGGCGAGGTTATTGCGTGATATATGATCTGCCGCTTTGGTCTCCTTCCCTGGGACATGTGCTGCTGTGAGTGTTATATCATATCTCGCCTCAAGGAAGAAGAGGCAACACAGCATGTGGGCCAAGGTTGGGTCTTTGCAGTATCCCCCCCTCACAGCTGCAACAGCCGCCGTGTTATCACAATGGCACAGAACCAAGGCCCCATACCGCCGCCGCCGTTATGATTGGCAGCAGCCCTTTCGCCGCTATCGATGCCCCCACAAAGCCAGGCCACTCGCTTCACTGCACCTGAAACCACTGGTCCTCCCACACAGCTCCGCAGCCCCATCCCCCTGATGCATCTGACCATATCTCGAAGGCTGGGGAATGCCGCGACACGTCCCTCATGAGGGAGACCCCATTCCACGTGCTCGCAAACACATGCCACCACTCCATGTCTGCCCTGAAGGCTGAGTTCAACCGGATCATGTGGTCCCTCCTATGAAACTGCGATAAGAGCCCGAAGACCCCCCTGAGGAACCGCCTACCCGGTCTAATTACCTTGCAGGCATGGTTGAGGTGCCCTGCCAGGGATTGGAGATCCCGTTTGGTACACGCCTTCCGGCGTCTCCACTTCCCCATCCGCTCACGGAGTCTGAGCAACTTTGCCTGTGGGAGTCTCAGTTCCAGTCGGTCTGATTCCACTTCTATTCCCAACAGTGTAATCGTTGTTGCTGGCCCCTCCGTCTTCTCCGTTGCGACTTGAAATCCTAGCTCCTCGCAGGTCCCCAAGGCCACTCGGAGGTTCTCTCCACACACCGACGATGCTGGTGGCGCAACCAAGGAGAAGTCATCTAGGTAGTGGTCTAGATTCTTGACTCCCCTCTCCCTAATTACATGGGCCAGCGCCTCCGCCACGACATTGAATATCATGGGAGCTGACAGGAGCCCGAATGGCAGCGTCGTGTGTACGAACAGCCTACCATCCAATTCCATACCTAGCAACCACCTGTCATCAGGGTGGACCGGAACGTGCCTGTAGGCCGATTTGAGATCAAATTTCGCCATAAGGGCCCCTCTCCCTGCCCCCACCACTTTCGTCGCCACATCGTCTACAGACACATATGACAAAGAGCACAACTCCTTCGAGATGCCATCATTTACACTTTGGCCCTAGGGAGACGACAAATCCAGGATCAGGCGCCACTTTCCCGGTTCCGACTTCGGACTTGCACGTGGGGGTAGTCGTCCCTGTTAAAGGGGCCCAGTAGGCGTTTTGCCCCACATTCCACCCCAATGTACTGCTCGACTACTTCCTTATGCTCCTGGACTGACTTCATGTTCCCCTTTGCCGATCTGCATCTTGCCAGCTGGTAATTAAAACCAATATGGAATCCCTGCTTGATCCCTGTGCAGATGTATTGAGCAAAAGCCTGATCGGGATGGCGCACCAGTGCCCTCTCCCATTCCCGCGGCTGTAGTGTGGAGGTAATCCTTCCCCATTCTCCCTTGGGTGTCCTGGCTGTTGTCGGACAGTGCGATTCCAGGGTCACCAGGGAACTTGTCCTGTAGTTGGGTGACCGAGCGATGATGATTCCTCTGCAGTGGGACAAAGGCACGGACATTTTAACCCACCCTTGACCCGTGTATGCTTCTGTGGCGGTCGGGACTGACACTGCTCGTGAAATTGGGAGTCACACTCGCCATGCAGCAAGTGGATCACAGAGGGCAGGTCCCGACTGCACGGACCTACCCTTACCCTTATTATATCTGTTTTTTAGCTAGTGACTGCGTTCGCCCTGTGTGTGTGTGTGTGTGTGTGTCTGTACTCCGGTTCAATAATCACAACCATTGAAACAACTCATATATATACGTTGACAGACTACAATGGTCCTCATGCACTCGTGACTCAGTTCGCTAGGCCCTTCCTGGCTGAGCTCCACAGAAACGTTTTGGGTGGTTGCCCCTACAGCGTTCACACACATGGGGGAACTTGCAGTACTTCATGCGACATCCCCCTTCGTTGTACAACCAGCATACCCCGGGGTGGCCTAATGATGGGCGCTTACGCTTGGGTTCCTCCCTCCTATCCACAGGTTGTGGGGTACGTGGTTTTGGCCGGCCCCCACAGATCTCCTGATATAGTGCCACATCCATCCCGGACCGGGATTTCTTCCCTGTCGATGCCATCTTTTCCCTGAACGCCTCATCGTACTCCCTCCAGGCTGGGTGCTCCGCATCGTTGAAGGCCTTAAGGACTGTGAGCATGTGGCTCATAAAGCCCACGGTGCAGTCAGGGTGATGCCGAGCCATTGCCGCCGTGTAGCGGCCGAAACATTGAACCCAGGTGATAATGTTGTGGATGGGTTTTTTGCGTGGTTGGGCGACCTCTAAACCAGGAAGTACCACCAGTTTTTCTGGGTCTGCGTCCCGCAGTGATTGGTCTGATGCTGAGCGTGGTCGAAAGTCCTGCATGTCCACATATTCCCATTTTATCATCCTCGTATGGACCCGTTTCGGGATCGCGCCGAGGCCTTCTCCCAGCCATACCCTTGTTGACTTCTGGGCTGTCCCCAAGGTGTCGTGCGCCACCAGCAAGGACAACAGGGTGCTTGTTTGCTGAGCTACCGTGGAAGTGGTCCCTTGCTCCTCCTTTCCATCCGTCTTTTGCTCCTCTCCCTTTCCTCCTCCCCCTTCCTTGGAGAAGACGGGCACCTCGTCTAGCGCTCCTGCCTCCGGCTGTTTCCCTAACGATGCTGCAACGGGGACAGGGCACAATACATCCCAGGTTCACACACACCAGCATGACCTGCTGGCACAACACCCACCAGTAAGACCTACTGGCATCACACACACCAGCATGACCTGCTGGTCCAACCCCACCCGTATGCCTACTGGCCTTACACCCCCGCATGACCTGTTGGTACAACACCCCCCCCCATATGACCTACTGCCATTACCCACACCAGCATGACCTGCTGGTACCACACCCACCAGTATGACATACTGGCGCTACACACACACCAGCATGACCTGCTGGCACAACACCCACCAGTAAGACCTACTGGCATCACACACACCAGCATGACCTGCTGGTCCAACCCCACCCGTATGCTACTGGCCTTACACCCCCGCATGACCTGTTGGTACAACACCCCCCCCATATGACCTACTGCCATTACCCACACCAGCATGACCTGCTGGTACCACACCCACCAGTATGACATACTGGCGCTACACACACACCAGCATGACCTGCTGGTACCACACCCACCCGTATGCCTACTGGCCTTACACCCCCGCATGACCTGTTTGGTACAACACCCGTATGACCTACTGCCATTACACACACCAGCACGACCTGCTGGTACCACACCCACCAGTATGACCTACTGGCATTACACCCCCCCGCATGACCTGCTGGTACAACACCCACCCGTATGCCCTCCTGGCATTACCCATGCCAGCATGACCTGCTGGTACCACACCCCCAGTATGACCTTATGGCATAGGTGCACGGCCCGCGCCACGGCTACACAAATGCTCACTCCCGTGTTCCACGTACTCACACACCTTCTTTTGGTCCCCCGCTGGAGCCTTCGCCGGCGTCCAGCCGCGCCACTCTGCTCAGTATTCGTTGGACCACTCTCTCCTCCAGGTCCTGAGCGACTCTGGGACGGAGTCCCCCGCCCCTGGGAGTCGTTCTCCTCTCCACTCATTTTATCGTAGCGTGAAACTTTTAGCGTAGAATTTGGTCAGTACCCAGAGACAGCCGTCTCTCCCGTTCCCGACTATCGGAGTAATGGCGCCACATGCTCCCCACGCATGCGCAGTTCTCTTCCTGCGGTATCACCTGTCTGCACCGCACACCCACACACTCCTGTTAACTTAGTTTAACCCCCCGGGTTAAACTGCATTGCCTTCCTCTTCTCTTTAGTGTCTGCAGCCTGAAAGAAAACGAGAAACGTTCCCATAAGTATGGTAGATATTACAGGCGAGCACACAAGACGCTGGATTCCTCAGAGAATACGTAAAATCAGAACCCTTGGACCGTGTAGCACCCTCGCTGCACTCGGGTATATAGCTACGTCCGGCCTCAGGTTTCTGATTTTATGTATTCTCCTCGGACATATATTTAGTGAACATTGAGTGTGTATAAAGATAAGCACAGCCAAGGTAATAAACTTAGGAACCTTACCTGGGACTCCGCACTTGTCGCCCTGTCTGGCTCAACCGTGCCTTCAGTGTCCTTCACTTCAGAGCCTGGCTCCTCGGACCGTGATACCTGGTCCAGTAATAGATCGCTAAAGTTGAAACACTCGACACAAAGAATGCACACTGCCTGTGCATATTTTCAAAAATGTGCGACCTGAAAATCAAGGATATTCCTAAACCTGACTATTCTGCATCTCAAGCACTTGCAGCTGGGGCACATTTTCACAGACAAAATCTAGTACGTGATTATTTTATTTTGTAAGAAAATCACGTAAAACATTACAGTACATGCAGTGCCCGTCACATTATATCCGCCAATTAGGAAACTACGCAGTCGCTTCGCTCGCAAATAAACGTAGCTTTCATGTATGTTCATATATCTGCACATGCCAGTAGTGCTTGCTGTCCAGATGGGGATTCACTCCGAGAGCTGTCGGAAGAACTTACCTGTGTTGAGAAAGGTTATGCAAGATGTAAAACTCGTTGGAAAGATTTGTCTATAACTGTATACAAACAAATACATATAATATTGCTTGTCACAGCACTATAAAGATTTCACAAATACTGTAACCCTCGCCATGTAAGTGCACCGAGGGTCAATGACATTATGCACAAAATCACAAACAGTGACTCATACATACCAAAACTTCGTCTTCATCCTCATATTGCCTTGGCCTCTACATTACGATGATGAGCCACTTAGTATAATACGAGCTGTTGTATACTAAGTACAAAAACACTCACAACAAAATCGGCTGGAGCAAGACCAAACCACACATACTTCCTCGACGGATTTCCGTTATGCTTGGTGGGTAAAATCTAAAAATGCAAGCAACGAACATTATAAAGTATGACCATCATACACGAAACGTGCCATACATGAATTCAAGATAATTTTAAGGCACCAGGGTGAATCCTGTACATTAAAGATATGAATTACATATTGGAAGATGCCATGGAAATTTTTCACAGATACTGATTTCTCAGCTTAAGCCTAACCGGCAAACAGTGCCGTGTTCAAGTGCAAGCCCTAAGCCAATCTTGTGTCGACTCAGCATTTTTAAATCACATTCCAAGGCCTGCGTTTGATCGTCACGTGATCCTGTTTTACCTCCTATGAAATTCGACTAAAGATCCCTAGTCTCTTGCCCAGACCCTCACATGCTACCACGCGAAAGAGGGTCTGGTATATACATAAGGTGCGATTTCTGGATTGTGCTGAATCAGTGTGTGTATGTAAATTGCACAATTACCTGGTAAGCACTCCCATCCATTCTGTTGCTCTGCGCATGAGCAGAACTGGTCAGCATTGTAGATCGCCTTCATGTCACATAATTGTTTGAAATTAAAAAAAGTTGAACACCTTTATTACACGGTACCCTCATGAGAAGAGACGGCTCGTATAATAGGCACACGTGCCTACGTATGAGAAACGTATACTAACCTTTTCTAAAGTACTTGGAGTAACGGGTAGACTAGGGCCGGGAAGTGCTGGAGGTAACCACGATGGCGAAGAGCCCGACGACGACGGTGGTGGCGAAGGTGGCTGAACCGCTTTTGCTTGATCGACAATAATCCACGAACGACAGTTCTGGCAAGTTTTCTACCAAGACGGTGAGAATGGTGGCACCCTCCGATGTCTCCAACGTTGACATCTGAAACACATATGAACGTATTACTGGCTGTGTACGGTTCTACAAAAATATATTAGGTATATACCTTGTTCACTCGTAACTCGTGAGGACGTCCTCACAGATAGCCACTTCACACACACTCGTCCGAACTGCAGCAAGTGTTCGGTGATTTACGCATGCGCGCCTACGTTTACCGCGACGGGTGTGTGCATGTGGCTGGTGACGTTTCCAGGAAGCACGTGAAGGTCTGGAGGACTATATACACCGCGCGCTATTTAATACTGCTGCAAAAATGCATTCAGCCACAACGAAACCACACCCTTCTATACGTCACACGCCCTCATAAATAAATAATTAATATACAGTCCTCTGGAAGCAGACCCCTCTGAAGGTGCACTCATGACACACCGTTGTAAATGGAATTCCAAAAATCACATTTACACAAGTAATTGATGAAACACAATGGATATAATTTTAATTGAAGAAGATCGTACACATGATAAGCAACCCCAGAAAACATAATTAAATTATGAACAACTGTGGAATTCCAAAAAACAACATTTACAACAATTTTTTAAACACAAGCTATTGAAACAAGATAGAATAAACAACTTTTGAATTCCAAAAACACAGGTAATAATGAAAAACCGTGGAAATCCAAAAATTACTTTAAAGATGACCGATTGAAAAAAGATTTCTAGTGGTCTTTTAATGCACCATTAATGTTTCCTTTCACTGATAATCATTCTTTCTCAAACTGCTGAAAGGTTGTACACTGTGTAAAAAGAAATGTAAGGCTTCCAGTTTATGAGCATCCAGAGCATGCTTAGATCCCTTTCCTTTCAAGGTCGAAACCTGGAGAACATCATCCCAAAAAAACGAGTATCTGGCAAGAGCTACAGCAATTTTTCCAATCATGTCATACCCAATGGCTATTGGTTGCAATAACTGGAGTACTACTTTTGGATTGAGTAAAGAATCGGAAGTAGATCGAATTGGTAGTGAATTAGGGCTCAGTGAAGACTGGCCACTTGGCTCACCCTTAAGGGAGGGTACAATTGGACGGTCCAAAATGCTCGATGTAGCGAATGCACGGCCTAAAATGCTCGATGTTGCAAATGGACGATCCAAAACATGTGTCGACGTTGCGGGCTGATACTGACGGTCCAAAACATTAGGTGTCGACGTTGCAGGATATGAAAGTGCCGAAATTGTAGGCTGGTGTGGATCGCCATTTGGCAAAGCAGTCCCAGGTGTCTCGGATTTTATAATGTCAGGTGTGTCTCCAGCCGTTGCAAGTAAGTTGCAATCCAAGCTCAGAAAACTTTCAAGGTCATCAAGGCTTATCCGAGACTCCAAGTCCAATTCGGGCGCTGAATGAGCTGGAATATGCATTTGTCTTGGCATAGACTGGGTCAGTGCACTTCTGTCGACTGACATTGTTGCTGATGCTGATGGAGTGTAAACCGGTCGAGGATATGCCATTACTGGTGGAATAAATTTTGGTTTCGGTGTCACATACAAAGGAGGACTGGACAACTGTGGAAAATAAGGTGACGGACATAACTGCAGCGTCAATGCTTGGCAAGCGAAATATCCGACTTGGAGGGACCCTCCCTGCCAATGTTGATTGGATTCGATCCTGTTGGACATATACCATGTCCAAGCGGTTTTTCAAGCCCTGCACATCCCTTACTACCTCACCAACCAATCCTTCAATAGATGCAAAACGGCGGTCGAAGTCTTTCATCGACGTGAACCAATGATCAAGCTGGACGGACATCCTTTCCTGCTTTGCTTCAATAACCTTAAAGTATAGACTGTATACACCTACAAGGAAGACAAAAAAGTAGTGTAATGACCCAAGTTTGGTCGCTGGCCATGACACGGTAAGTTGATACTAAGAGAATCCTCATGCCTTACAACCACCTTCTGCCACTCGTACCTGTGACTTTTGGATGTGTATATACTTTTTACGTAGATAACGCGGAGTACAAATGTAACGCGTTGCGTGAGCAGCGTGTGCACCAGCGTATACACCTCTTTCTCTGGGATAAGGTGCTCCTTTGCAACTGACCGCCTTCCTGCAACTTTCTTTTTCAATATTACAAACATTAATGCACAAAGAGTATGCCACGCCCTCTGGTTCTCGAGGGCACAACACAAGTGCAGAGTCTGCAGTCTGTAGGCACAAACTATGCACACGTGCAGGATCTGAAATACTCCCAATTTCTAGCCCACGCAACTGAACCATCGCCTCCACAATGGCCAGGAGATTCAGCAATAATACAAAATTTCGTTTTTAAGTGGTGGAAATCAGCATTCCAGCTATTTGCATTGTGCGTAATAATAAAGAACACAATAAATTGGGCCCCAAAGAGTTGGCAAATGATATGATCTTTACAGGTGTGTCTCAGCCTATGAAATCGCTGAAACTAAATTTTGTGGGCAATTTCAGCTTGTAAAAAACCTCTAGGTGTACGTAAAGAAAATACACACTCCAAAATTATATCAGAATGCATTTTCTTAGTGACAAGCTCTCACCTTCAACGCCCCCATCTTTTTCTGGACATCCAGGAATTGAGATTGAGGAAACTGGTGATGTGAAAAAACAATGCATTACTGTTGCACAAAAGGGATGTGCATGTGTATAATTATAACACAGTTTATATGTGAGGTTACTGACAGCCTACATGGTCCACACATTCCTGGTGCTTGTTTCTGACTCTTGTAACACATCTATGACGGCATTTACAAAATGCCACAAAAAAGCATCCCCCTACGAGTAAGGCGCTTTTTCTTACCTACTGCATTACCAACAATAGCTGTTACTTCAGTGTTACCTACAACAGGATCAGTAGTGCTAGGAACATTATGTAGTTAGAATGTGCAATAAAATGTGTAGGCACAAAGCTAGCCTACCTATATCCAGTTTATGTGCAGCATCAGCCATTCGGTGGGAAACCAAAATCCCCGTTGTGAAACAAACACCATTGTATCCCTGCTGGGCCTAACATCAAAGCACACCCCTGAATGTTATAACAATGAGTAACCCACTGCCTCCACTGCCCATACGCGATAACGAGGGAAGTGTATAGAGAACGCAATTAGTGTGATGGAAAGTGTATCAGGGAGTACCATACAAAGGTGTACGCCATGGCTTGAACAGGACAGTATAATACTTTGAGAAGCAAAGATTCCGAGTCTACTGGGACCCCACGTGTAGCAAATTTCCGATGCCCAGGCTTACTGGGCAGCACACACGCCCGAGGCCAGTGCCTGGCAGGCCGAATAAGGACTAAGGACGAAGTTAATATCATACCCACTGTGCAACCAAAAATATGATAATATGCGGGATATTCTATGTGGGTGTGTATACTGTGTACTGCATGTGTGTATACTGTGACCCAGTTAGCGCACAATGCAGTTTGTTTAATCAAGCTAGCTGTTTAGATAACGTAATAAAAGCCAGGTGGAGAAGAGAGAGCCAGGACTCCAGCACAATACCCAGGCAAAAACTAAAAATGCTCATTTTTTCTGCCAATAGGTGGTATCCGTATTCCATAAAATGGAGTAAAATGTATGGGAAAGCATAGGAAATGGGTTTTGGATTTCAGGTTTGTATGGTAATTATTTTAGGACCCACTGTACCACTTCTATACTACACTAACATAATAATATCTGGTAGCTAACGTACCCGCAGAGCCAGAGGACCCTTCCTTGGTGGGAGCGGCATGCTTTGAGCCAGTAATAATAGTCCCTTTAAAAATACAAGGAAAGAGACATATAATATACGGGCATGTCCAAAGTTTATTAACGCACCTGACGGCCTTCGTGATCTTCTCCGCTTAGCTGCAGGCCCAGCCGATGAAGCAGGAGAGTTAGATCACCCCCGCTTAGCTCTTTCCCCTGCCTGTCGCGGTAAAGTGGATTCAGTTTTCCTTGGCGGTTGCCAGAGGGGGTGAACCATCGGGACTGTCGGCGTGCTGGTGGGCATCTCGCTACGGTCTCTTCTTCTCGGTAAAAGTCCACTACACCCTAAAAATGTGACTTGCGATACTGCCCAACGACTACCACATCCCCAGACTGCAAGTTGGATCTCGAAATGTTGTCCTCTTTCGACACGGAACGTCCCGTTAATTTTAGAATTCTCTCCATGTAGCATTCCCCATCGTATTTAGTGCCCTTTTCCAAACAAATGACAGGGAACGAAAGAGGACCAGTCAACTGGCATAGCTGCCAATGTTCGACGTCGTTCGTGTAGCGGCGACGGCGGCTTTTCACGCCAGATGGTGGATGCCGCCTAGAGCCTATCCACGTATGACGTACACGAAGGCACACGAGACACACACACGGGCAGGTACCAGGTGTAAGGAGCTTCGATGCCGGCTGCTCTCGTTCTCTCTCCGCACGTACGCTAGAAGAACGGCACACTGCCACGTGGCCGAAGTTATTATACGCGCGTACCCGTCTCCCCGTCGCTTAGGCAACGCCTCGGATGCGCCTACGCGCTGGGGAGAGTTTCTCCCCAGCGTGCTTCTCCCCGTGCTGCAAATACTCCCCTAGAAAGGTCATGCGTTGGAGGTGCGTAAGTCTAGGGATAACACTCCCCAGGGAGTGGTTGTTGCACTTATTTTTCCTTGTACCGTATGTAGTCAGACTTTCGTTCACATAGCTCTTACCAATTCTGAGTTGCACTTGACGCATGTAGTATGGCCATTATAATCTATTGCCTGGGGCCGTTTTGTTGTTAACCCTCAGCGCGCATGCGCAGCGAGGGTTGCGGTAGTTGGTCTGTCGGCCTGTCTGTCTGTCTGTCTGTTTGTCCGCGCGAGTTCTCGCACTACAGGCTACGAGGCGGTCAATGAGTGGCACCAACGACGTTAGAACTAGATTTTAACGTGGCGATTTTGGCGATTTTCCTGAAATGACTGCGTTCCAGAGATGTGACGTGAGGACAAGCGAAAAAGCCAACGTGCAATCGATCGTGCACGCGCCATCGCCGGCAGGCTACGCTGGCACGCACGCGTCATGTCAGGAGCATGTGCATACGCCACGTGGTTGCATAGGATCCGACGGCCTTGCAATTTGAGTGTCTCTCCTCTGTCACTTTTGATCTCTGTTCACTTTGTTCCCAATGGATAAGAAGCTGAGAAAGGTATGTCCGCAATGTAGTATCGTGAGACGAGCAGTTTGTGGATGCGGCCATGCCTTCCCATCTAAACGTTAAAAGCACAGTCTGGCAGTATGTTGCAAGCATCGAAACACAGAAGAGAAGATAGAGCAATGCAAATAAAGCAAATGTGAGAGCCTCTGAAACACCTGAGAAATTGCTCTAACCGCTAAACCCTCTGATTCAACTAGCCGGTGTTACGGCGAGACGCGTATTACTTGTTCAGCATGAGTCAAAAAATGTTTCCGTTATCGTGCAATTCTGTTCCAGAGAACGGTAATTACCGTTCGTTTCCCGTTTTCGGTGGCGGTACCATTCTGTTTTGCCTAGTGAATCGTTCCGTTTAGTTTCGTTTATGCGCCTTGACTGTGCCATCGAACACGTGAGCGATTAGCGATCTGGGGCTACGCCCACTTTTGAAATACGCGTCCCAAGGCCTCTCCTTGTCGTGAGGAGGCCTAGAACACGAAAGCGCGGCTGGGAAGGTGCTCCAGCGAGCCTGGGTTTCTTCTGCGAAAAAAGTGGCACTTGGACTCTGCGCATGGTACCGAACAAGACGAAACGAAACGGAACGGAACCGTACAAGAACGAAACAAAACGTTACGGAACGGCGTTGCATGCGGTTTCCAGTTGAATAATTTTGAAATTTATTTGTCATATTCGACGCGTCCTACATTACGGGAAATAAAAGTATGCGCGCTCACGCATGCAGTCACAAAAGTATGTACTTTCTATGTACATCACGAACTGTAGCGTGAGATAGTTATTGGCATCCTATTATCGGTGCCTTGCTGTAGTGAATATCACTGGATATTTCCTCATCATGTATGCATCTAGCTTTCAGTCTTGCATCCTGTTTTATATGTTATTAGAGTCTGCATCATTTGTCGATGTTACTCTGGAAGTTCAGAAGGATAATTCATCATTACCCACAATTAAAGACATAGTAAGTTTGTTGAAAGTAATGGTTCCTTGTTCTCTTTGTTAGATACGAGTGGAAAATATTAAATAAGGAGAGGTACGTAGTTAATTAAACTGAGTGCTTGAGCAGGATTCAATTGAAGTGAAAGCTTCAGCAGGATTCGATAACTTAAGGCAACTGCAGTGCCAAGCGCTAAGGGAGTAGTAATGTCACTTTTAATGGTGTTCCCATAGTACAGAACAGCCAGCCTTAGCGCCCTGTCCCCTTTATTCGTCAGAAGGAGGGGTTGTGGTGGTCGTACAGGGTCCCCCTGCGCCAGTTAAATTACCCACTTGATAAAAAAGGGGTTATGTAATACCTAGCTTATCTTGATTACCTGGTGAATACCCACAAATGAGCTGCGCCAATGCTGAAGTTATTTTTTGTGTATCCTTTGACAGTAACCCCGGCCGCAGTCAGTGTTCTGGTAAGCCGCGCCGTAAGCTCATGTCGCGTGAGGCCCTGATTGTTAACAATGGACCTGGAATGGCGTCCCTAGTAGCGAGATATGCCCACATTGCCTTAACTTGGCATAGGGCTGTGTCTGTCTTCCCCAAGTACAACTGGACCCCTTGTCGGAAAGGGTCAGTCTTAGATTGTTTGATAGTGATCTGCACCACTGTGGGGGCCAGCTTGTCTTCCACAGCAACGTCGGCAAGGGACAGGTGAACCGGGTCGAATGGCCAACAAACAGCAGCAATGTGTCCTTGGAGGTGGGCAGGGCAAGCAGAAATGCGAGGTTGCAGAATTCATTGTAGCGTTTCTGGCCAGCCTGATACGACCTCTGAGTGGATGATGCTAGACCCTTCTGATAGTAGCTGCAAACAGCTCTTTGAATTCCCAAGAGATCCAGTCCGTGCCTTGCAGCGCTATTATCTGGAGGAGCTCGGCTGGAAGGGGTGTTTGCTGTTGGTCGGCCTGGGGGTTTGTAACCAAATGTTGTAGCTAGATAGCGAGGTTGCAGAATTCATTGTAGCGTTTCTGGCCAGCCTGATACGACCTCTGAGTGGATGATGCTAGACCCTTCTGATAGTAGCTGCAAACAGCTCTTTGAATTCCCAAGAGATCCAGTCCGTGCCTTGCAGCGCTATTATCTGGAGGAGCTCGGCTGGAAGGGGTGTTCGCTGTTGGTCGGCCTGGGGGTTTGTAACCAAATGTTGTTTCTAGATAGCTGATCAGCAGTGATATTGTGGGCGCCAGCCAGGTGCTCTATGTTGAGGCAGTGCCACAAAAAACCAGAGACAGTGCAGCAGGTGAATGATCAAGGGGTCTTTTGAAGACACATTTTTGACTGCTGACACCACCGCTATGTCTGAGACAGCACTACTATGCGCTTCATACGCCGCCCCCACACTGCGCAGGAGAGCACTATGGGAACCAGTTCCTTGGCCATAATTGCCACAGGGAGCCACTCTGTGGGCCATTGCCATTTGTACCAGTTGCCACTGAGATAGCCCCCACACCCCCAGTTGCCGGATGCATCAGTCTGAATGGAGAGGCTCGGGGGCTGAGGGTAGCCTGCCACTTGGAGAAAACCGGTCCCATTCCTGACCTCCAAGAACATGTGCCTCCATGCGAGGTCAAAAATGGAGTTCCGGGACCCGTGCTGCTTTGCTGTACATGCCTTTAGGATCCATTCTAAGAGGTTGGCAGCGATATCCAGGAGCTGACCTTAGGCCAAAGGGAAGGCATGTGTCGATGTGGAGAGCACCTTTCCAGGACATAGCCAGGAGGTGCTTGTCTGCTGGGATGCACTGGGATAAGCCGAAACACACTCTATATATCTATTTTTGCTAGCATAGGGGCCCGGGCCGCTGTCTAGTATCTTGCCCACTGCGTCGTCAACTGAGGCGTAGGACATTGAGCAGAGCTCCTTTTGGGACTCCGTCGTTCACACTGTGTCCTTTGGGACTGGATAGGTCGAAAATAAGGCGCCATTTATGGGGCTGATGGGATTTGGGAATTACTCCAAACCTGCTAACATGGCCCATGCAAGCCTCAGGTGTGAATGGGCCGGCTACTCGATTCTCCTTCTGGAGATATTCTTCGACCACATCTGGGTGCTCCAGGGCAGATGGTAGGTTGCGTCGCGCTGGCCATAGTGTGTTGAGAGGGGAGCTGAACCCATTCGCTAAGCCATCGAAAAAGAATTCTACCAGCTCCCAATTGGAGTGATCGACCAGAAGTCTTCCATGCTGGGAGACCTAGGGGAGTTTTGATCAAAGAGGCTGCTCTGTGGACGAGAGGTCGCTGAGGTGCTGCTGCTGTCTGTCGCTGCCAAGCATGTACCCAGGCTGCTTCCGGAATAGCCGGGTCATTAGGCGGGGCCTGTCAGGAGGGGTCAAGTTCAACTTCAAGGCAGGGAAAGTGGCTCTTTTCCTGGGGTGGAGGGTTAGCAAGATATATAATGCCTGCAAGGTGTGCCTGTGGTTTCAACCACAATGGGCAATTCTGTGACCCAGTGTAAACTCATCATGTGACCCAGTGTAAACTCATCGTTTACACCCAGCACTTTCCCACAGGCAGTGGGTAGCCTACCTAGCAGTGAGGTATATATATAAATGTAGCAAAAAATGACTGGAGCCAGCAGTATGCTGTGGCTGCAACAAGATGAGGCAACTAATAAGGTTATGGAGATCGGGCCCCTAAGACTAATGGGGTCTGAGTTTAACTGATGCTGTTCAATATGGCTTGAACCGTTATTGCTGCGCTGGCTGCACCAATTGCTGTGATTGCAGCGCTTGTTGCACTTGTTTCACTTGTTGCAGAGGCTCGGGGTTGCGGCTGTGCCATTTGGGAAGGGGAGTTATTGCGGGGTTTTAGCTGGCTGTCGCCTTGACTGCCGCTTAGGGCAATTGATGATCTTGTGCCCTTGTCAATCATGGTTGGGTCGTTATTGCAGGGTAGACAGATGTTTTGGTAGCTGCAGTTGTGGAAGTCGCAGGCAGACTGGCTCGAGAAGTTCCACGACTTGCAAACTGGGTTCGATGAACGTGCTCGAGAGTTCGAGGATGAGGTTCCTGTGGATTTGGCGCTCGTGGCCCACTCACAGCACAAAAATAACAGGTAAAACAGAAGTGTAGGGCAGTACCATCGGAGAGGTCAGCTAGCAAGACCTATAGGCATATATACCATATTCCACAAGGTGGGGTCGACAGTGGCCCACTTAGAGCCTGGTGTGCCGGCAGCCATTTGACGGAAACGCCTGTCATACCCGAGCCTGGTATCCCCTTCGTACTCTCTGGACGCTTCGATGAAAATGGACTGATAGCCAACCAGGTCTATGGTTCAGTCCGGCGACTTGCTGACCACCACCGCCATAAACACCCCGAAGCACTGAACCCACTCGGCGATTGAGGTGATCTGGCTCTTGGGCCGCTTTGACCCTTTCTCCGGGGTGACTTTACGCAACTGCGCCATCATCGCGTCTCCCACCGACTTCACCAGTTCCAGCACATCAGTTCGCATAAGGTAGGTTCCAGTGTCCGAATCACTGGTCATCATTTGCCTTGGAGGCCTAAAATTTGACTGCTCCTTTAAACTTGCTGCTTCCTGCTGTGAAAATTAGGCAAGCTTTTTCTTTTTCTCCTCCTCTGTTACAGCTTCTTGAATGGAAGAGCGATGATCCTCGCATAGCTTGCATTCATCACTGCGAGGAATCATAAAGACAATGTGAGGCAGACACTGGTGCCATGTATCAAGAAAGCTTCGATACTCCATGTATTTCTCATGGTTTTCACAGCATGTTTCACGATACTTTTGATGAATTTTGTGGTTCTGATTAGCAGGTAAATAGGTAGGAGCTGTATTTGCTCTTCCTCGAGAAGCTGCAGGCTGCGGGAGTCCAAACACAAGGGCATGAATTTTTAATGAACTCCACAGCGTTTGAAACAACATTGAATGGGTAAGCATTGTAGGCTTTTCTACCCTTGTTACCGTGCTGTCGTGGGACTGGTCCACTTTCACTAATGTGCTTCCTTAGTGCCCGCAGAGTATAGGTGCCTATATCATGTATGTAGCAAAAGGCATTCTGACACACCAGCCTGAAGCCAAACATACTGGCAACTTATTCGTTGCTTTTTTGTTGCCTTTCGTGATGGAGCATGAGTAACAGCTGTGCTTGCCTATTAGAAATAGATCACGCTCACCCTTACTAGGTTGGTTTTTTGCTTTCAGCGGCTCATTTAAAGGAAGGTGCCTCAGAAAAACTCTTAGACTGAATTTTCCCACAAACCTAGTTAGGAGTTAAGAACCCTAACTTTATGTGCACAATCTAGAGGCATCTTTTAGGCCAGAACAATTTCACCGCTCACCTTTAGTTTGTGGACAATATGCGAAAATGGTGGTTTTGAAGGTCCCTGGGGGTTAGGATTATTTCTAGAGTTATAAAGTCTGCAATACTTACGTACGTAGTTCTGCCGTATTATGCAAGTAGCTGCTGAAGTAAATGCGAGGCACTCTTTTTTCGTTAGAGTTGCAGCTGCATCCGAGCATGCTTACCATGCTTTATGTATAGGTGAGGAAAAGGACGGTTCCTGTGGCCAAGCATACTGCATCATTGAAATGGAACTCATGCATGCGCACCTAACCGACGCTGCTAGCAATAGACGGCTGGCTTCAGCTCTTTTTATCATAAATCCTACTAGTGTTCGTGGCTGAACAGTCATTGAGAAACCTCAGCTACAATTCACTGGTGACGTTCACTCTTGATTTGATACACCAAGCCGCTTGATATCAAATCTCTGCGTTCCGTAGTGGATTAAAATTTTTGCGCGCCACGTAGTATTGCGGAATAAAAAACAAAGCAAAAGAAAGTCAGACTAATCCATCAATGGAAAGAGGGAGGGTAGGATGTCGGTGCATCCACAGACCGGCGTTTCCTCGCCACAGGGCTATAGCAAGACGACCAAAAAGGTGTTTCATCGTGTCCGCTGTGTTGGTGGAGTTTAGTCGTTGTCCTAGGGCACGACCTATCAAGCGAATGG